ATAGTGCCAATAAAACGTCTGGGCTATTTTTACATAGTCTTAAAGCATTAAAAAAAAGGTGCTAAAGAAAGTGAATTTAATTTTAAACAAGGATTTTTATGTCCCAAGGATTTCATTTTCAAGGCTTCTAAAATCTATTTGCCTGACTGCCAAAAGCCAGTTTGCTTTTTAAACAAGTGAAGAGCGTCTATTTCTACCACCCTTTGGCTTCCACCTGTCTCACTTTATCCTGTTGTGCCCACTGTGATGGTTTAGATTAGAACATCAGATTTGATACATATGGAAACATGAAATTAAGAGACTTTTGGCTATAACTGGCAAATGCCAATGGATTATTAGGAAAACCAAAGCTATCTGACTTCAGTTAAGGAAATGACCATTAATGGCAGTTTAGGGAAGGCACCCCCATCTCACTTTCCGTTCCTTTCAAGTGTTTCCCTGGGACCTAAATAGCTACACACACTATTTGTGTTGAGGAGGTAAAGATTAGCAAACTCCTCCCCAAACCAGATTTAAAACATTCAATTCCAGTACAGGTCAAATTCTTTTATTCTGGGAGCCATGGCAAACAGTTTAACGCGATGAAAATTACCCACGCTCTGGCAGATGGTTCACAGCTGTAACACCCTGAATGAATTACTTCCCCCCCCCCATTGCTACTATTAAATTCAAGAAAACTTGTAATTTTTTCCCAACCCTTGCCTATATAATAATCTTTCATCAATAGGAAAATGACAGATTGAACATCCGATGAGAGGGCGATGTGATGGGCTGGGTGGAGTGCTGGACTTGAGATCAGATGTACCGGTTTGATTTTCAGCTCTGTCACTTACCTCTTTGGCCATGGGAAAGTTCTTAACAGCAGGCTTCAGTTCCAGGACCTACTGTCCCCCAGCAAAATAATGAATGTGAATGTGTTTTGCAGATTACAAAGCAGTATGCAACTGTTAAACATTCCCTCAAGCAACAAGTTGACAATTCAACAACAGTGCTATTCAAATCACACACAGTTATCAAGTTCTTCCTGTACTGGTTACTCTCACCTATTCCAACATGAAGATTTTTGTGTCATTCTAAAGAAGTCTGAGTTTGTTACCCCAAACAGCTGTCTTCCAATGACTCTAGAGTATTTGGGTTCATTTTTGGTGATCTGGGAGAGGACAGGAAAGCAAGAGATCTTGTTTGCGTTTTTATGCACGTGTGATATTTGGCTGTGCTCAGTTAAAGTCCTAGTCCTTGTTTAAAGATGGTTTGCTAGTGGCCGAAATTTTTGCCCTGGAGGCATCACTCTTAGGATGAATGCAAACGCATAGTGACTGCCAACGACCTTAGTTAACTTTAATTGAGTGAAGTCCTCTTTAAGTGTTATAGGTCACCTACCTCTACTCCAAAGAACTGTCCATTTTTTTTCCAGGGGGTGGGGCTAAATGTTGCCTAAAATAAGCGACCCGTCAATGGTGATGGAAAAAAATCTCTGCTATATGGAGATTTTATTCTAGTAATTTATAACAAATAAGTCCAATACAACAAAAGCAATTTGCTCTCAGCACCTGTAATTTATAGCAAGAGGATTTGGCAGTCGCATACTGAAAAGCAGCTTACACCTCCTTCATGTTAATAACAGTGTCAAACATTTCCAAAGTTAGCTACTATGGATTTTTTGTTTTGTTTCTTTTGTTTTTTTTTTTTTGTTTTTTGTTTTTGTTTTTGTTTTTGTTTTTGTTTTTTGCTTTCTAATACCAAGTGCTATCACAACATGACTGATTTGGGCTGATCAATTCTCTCACCCCTTCTGGAGCTGCCCTTATCCTCCTATCTCTGGAATGGAAAAATCTGAATTTTTCACCTTAAGTCCCTTTAAACTATGAATTCTACCTCAGACCCAGCAGGAGAAGAGGCAAAAATGCATACATGAGTCAAGAATCAGACTAAACCAAGTAAGAAACTACATTCTCCTCCTAAATGCTGCTGCTTACAGCCCATGTGTTTAAAATGTGAAGACTCTGCCCCTTAAAAATTATGTAATGTGTTAAAAAAAAGTCAAGTCCAGGTTATATTTCTGGGTGTTTCCAATTGTCTTGAACAAATGGCTTTAAAGTACTTAATTACGTGCAATGTAACTGTAGGTAAATGAGATTATGTATTAATTTTGTGTTATATGAACAAAGTGCTTTAGAATCACACTTCATGTTACTTGTTATAGGCAGATCCCAACTATAAAGACCCCCAACCCTGAACAACCACGTAAACCATTTTAAATGAAAGTAAAGAGGAACTGAAAAGTGGGATTTGGGGACAGAGAACTTTGTGCTTCTACACGTAATAGTAACAGTAACAGCAATGACAACAGTGATGTTTATGTAATAATTCTTGTGCACCACTTACTATGTGCCAGGCACTGTCCTAAGCGCTTGCCATAAATTAAAATTACCCTTTGAGATACATAACTCCCGATAAAGACTATGCCTTTGCTCCTTTGTGAAAGCATATTTTTTCTCTTCTAACATGACAATATATATGCTAAATATATACACAGATATTTAATGTGGATACGAAGAGAGATGAAATGGGTGAAAATTATTCTATAGCTTTATAGTAAAAAAAAAAACCAAAAACCTATCAGAATTATCTGCCCTGTTCTTAGCACTTCACAGACAACATCCTACCATATCAATTTACATTAAAATGGAAACAAATGTCATTTCCTGCAATATGTTCTTTCTATATAGCTTCCCTTTTATATCTATATCTCAGCAATTTATGTGCCTGAGTCACTCTCAGGACCAATTACTTTTGCAAGAAGCTAAATCATCAGTTTAAACTGTGGAAACTTTGCTTCGGTGTTAATCCAATCACAAAATAAAAATATATTTGTGAAGTGCTTTCAAGTCCCCAAATGCTTCTACATTCATTCTCTTATTTTAACCTAAGCACCTTCCTCCCTGTCAGATGCAGCCTCCTTTCTCTAGTTACTCAATAAAGCCAGGAATTTCCTCAATGAGCAATACATTTAGACAACACCAAACCTCCCAAATAGCTACAAAGTCATCTGAAGCTATTTGTAAGTCAGCAACTCAGGCTAAAATAATGATAATTGGATCTAGATAATCCTTGGGAAGTCAAGGTTTATTGCAGGAACAAGATTTCACTAATTATAATCTTTGTTTAAACAAAGACTATGAGAAGTAGAGACAAACGTCTCGGAAAACGTGTCCTTTCCAAAGAACCACAGGCAAACAGGCAGCTTTGGCACGCATACGTCAATATCACAAATGGTAGCTTCAGCAGTTAGGTTCAAGCAGTAGCTTAAGACCAATTTTCAGATGTACTTTACAGACTAAAACAGATCTATTCCTGAAAAGCTGACTGTGAGTCAATTTCTTGAAAACATAATTACATATTTTAAATACATAGCTCTAGTAGTGGTGATCCTGTGTGTGTGTGTGTGTGTGTGTGTGTGTGTGTGTGTATTGAGGGGGGTGTCAAAATTTAAAGGAGCTCTGAATTGAATCCCCTGGCAAGCCAAAGCATCCTTTTGTCGTCTTAATGATCGCTCTTTAGTGTGTCCGTGCTGCAAATATGAGTTTTTGTATGGCAAGTTTTCTAAAGCAGGGGGAGAAGAGGGGGGAGGGGGCTACACCTGCACTAAATAGGGAGCTTGTTAGGTGACTGTTGTGATCAAGTCCCCGACTTGTTCTGCCTGATCAAGCACAGTGGGCAGAGATCCAATCACAAAAGCATTCCACAAAGCAAGCAAAGCAAAAATCTTCACTAAACTGACTACTGGAATGAAAACTCCTGGGGTCCATCCCTTCCCTTCACTGGGGAAGCAGCACAGTCTTACTGACGAGGGAAGGCACGGACTATGGAGACATCATCTTCGGAAATCATTTCCTGAGAACGTCTGCAGGCGCACTGATAACAACATTGCATACCGTACACAGTAGATTTACTCCAAGTCTCCCTTTCAAGTCTGACAGCTCCCACTCTCCCTATTTCTTCCTTTGGAAAAGTAACCCTTTACAAACTACCCACTGTTCCCGGGTAGGCTGTCCCCTGGGGTCAGGTCTTCCGCCTCGCCTTATTATCTTGCTTTACTGGATTCCCCAGAAGACACACCAAGTAGATGTTTTCAAAGCTTTTTAACCCTTTCAAACTATATTCATACCCATTATCAAGTTGTCACCAGTCCCTCTTTGGGGGGAGGTACATGAAGAAAACGAGGCACAGGGAAGGTGACTTGCCTGTCAATACTAGTGACAGGCAAGGAACCAGCAAGGGTTCTGGCAATGCATCCTGCGGAAAAACCAAACAAATCAACACAACAACACATTCCCGAGCCAAACACGCTCTTCTTTTAATCACCTGTTGTTTCAGATTCTGTTTTGTGCCCCCCAGACATTCAGGCTAACAATGGAGATTTAACCTTCTCGGTAAATCACAGCCAACTAGCACAACAATGACTGCTTTTGTAAAAAGTAACTTTCCCGAAGGAGAAAGGGTACCTCCCCCAGAAGTTACGGTCGATGACTACTGCTTAATATTCGGTGCTCTTCTTTAAAATTCTTGTAACCAAATACGGGTATTTGTAGCAAAGTTGCTTTTACCTGTTGATTTGAAAAGTTGATAGGATCCAATGCATGGTGTCTGTCTGCATAAGTCATTAAAGTGTCAGGGAAGGATGTTTGAAAGCATCTATCTATCTATCTATCTATCTATCTATCTATCTATCTATCCTTAAGCTTTACTCCTAAAAAGTAGAACCAGTGTTTAAATGATAATAGGCCCCCCCCCGATAAAGAAGTTTATGACTGGATCCAAACTTAAGTTTTTTGCAAAGATCACAAGGTATGGCACGAACACTGAAAACTGAATTCTACTCTTCGTGCTAAATAGGCACCAGTTAATGGAATGTTAACTCGCTTTTTCCTACCGCCGTAGACATCGATTCATTAAGCAATAACCATTAACTTCGGGAAACGGATTCCAAAATTACCCACCTCTGCGGGGAGAGCCGAACTTCTTGTCAGGTCTGGCAAAGTCCATTCTCACGTAGGTGTCGTCGTCTTCGTCGTCAGGCTCCTCTCGCTCCGGGGGACTCGGCACCGGGCGGCGAGGCGGTGGGAGGGGGGCGGCCGCGGCGGCCCGGTTCTCACCTCCGGCTAGGTCTGCCGACGGGTTGGGGTCTCTCGGGCTCGAGCCACCGGCAACATTTTGGGGCCCCCTGGCCGCTTCGGCGGCCGCAGCGGCGCCAGCAACAGGTTGGAACCAGCGGACGGAGGCGGAGTCAAACCGAGCGGCGGCCTCCAAGCCCCGCGCGGCTGCCCCGATGCCCGGGGCCACGGCCAGGGCCGAGGCGGCGGCTAACGCCCGACTCAAGGCTAAGGCTGGCACAGCTGCCGACGCGGCGGCGGCCGAGGCAAAGGAGGCCGAGAGGTCTCTCTCGAGGCTGTCCGTTGGGAAAGCCGAGACGGCGGCCCTGGCGGCCCCAGAGAAACTTTGCGAACGGCTTTGCGGGCGTCTTCGCTCTAGTTGCTGTTCTTCCTGCAGCAGCCTAGCTACAGGCGGTGGCTCGGAACAGCGGCTGGGGGAGAGAGAAATGTCCATACAGCACTCAGAAAACGGGTCGACCACATAGATGCGACCTGTTTCAGCATCATAGCGAATGGCACTGTCACCAAAAGGCACGGCCGGTGTCATTGCTGGATTGAAAATCACTTCAATGTAGTCGCCCTCTTCCTCATTCGCACTACCACCTGTAGCGCTGGGAGGAAGAGTCGCAAGTGGCCACCTAGCACCTTCCAGAAAGAGGGGGTTGGCACCTGGAATGGCTCTTAAAAGATTCGAGAGCCTGTGTGCTGGGTTTGGAAATGGCAGTCCGAAGTCCACATTCACATAGTTAGAAAAGGCTGTCGGTCTGGGGCCAGCAATGATGCCCCACGAACCTGGCAGTCCGTGGATAAAGGGGGCTGGTACATTGCTCGCTCTCTTGGTGAAGTCAATGTTGACGTAGTCACGAGAGCTGTCAGCTCCTCTCTGTTCACGTGTGGGCTTTTGTGATTTTGGCTTGATTTTATTCCCTTTTGTGATAAAAGAGAGGCGGTTAGGTCTCTTAGCCTTGTTCTTGGGGGGCCCATCATCTGAAGGCTTTGAGGGTGACCCCCCATCTCCACGCTTCGAGAATGACCCCTCGACTGAAGGCTTTGAAAGGGCATCTTTGGGGCCCCCGTTCGATGAGGCTTCCTTGTCTAGGCCCTTCCCGGGGAATTTTCCAGGTAACATTGGTACATACTCACTGTGGTCACTCTGTCCCAACGGGGAGCCCCGAAAAGGATTTGGCAGGGAAAAGTAGGAGCTCCAACTTTTAGAGGAAGAGCCACCCTGAGGATTTGGGGGGTTTTTTGGAATTGCACCGGCTCCAGGAGCCATAAACATATAGTCACTCTCGCTATCATTGTCCTTTGACTCCTCCTCCTTTTCAGGATCCGGCTCTTTGGGGGGACTTGGGGCAGGTGGTGGGCTCACTCTGGGAAACATCATCATGTACCCTCTTGAATCTTCAAAAGGTGACCGAGAGTGGCGCTTTTTTGAATCAGAGAAGTTTTGGGGAGCCATTGGCATGTAATCACTGGAGCTTGGGAGAGGGGCTGCCACCCCTGGCCTCATCGGCACGTACGGGTCATCCTCATCTTCGTCCAAAGCTCTGGCTCTGTGGGGACCCCGCGCTGCCCCTTCTGGGGTCTCTAAGTCTCTGACCTCCTTGGCCTCTTTGCGTTCTTTTGGGGCTCCTCTGTCAGCACAAAAATAGAGTCGGAACCTTCCCCCGGACTTCCCTTTACCACCAGTTGCTCCAGCCGGTGGGGGCGGAGGCGGTGGAGGCGGCGGCATGTGCTGCTTGCTTTGAGTTAATTTGCCAAAGTAGGACCTTTTCTTCAGAGATTTTCCGCGCTCACCATTGCCCTCGGAGGTTTTCCCACTTCCTGAGCCTTTGCCCCCTCCAGGGTTCTTGCCCCCGCCTGAGCCCTGGCCATCTCCGGCTCCCCGCCCACCGCCTGAGCCGTGTCCGCCGCCGCGGGCTCCTTGGCCACCGCCCGAGCCGTGCCCACCTGCAGTGCCCTGGCCATCGCCGGCACGCTGGTTTCCTCCTGCCCCCTGGCCACCGCTGGAGCCCTGGCCGCCTCCTCCGGAGCCCTGCCCCCCGCCCGAGCACTGGTTTCCTCTCGAACCCTGGCTACTGGAGCCTTGGCCACTGGAGCCCTGGCCACCTCCGGAACCCCGGCCATTTCCCGAGCCCCATCTGTTCATGGGCATGTAGTCACCTCCGTTTCCTTCCTGACCCTCTGGGCCCCGAGGGCTGCCTTCTTCCCCAGAGCTGCCGGAGCCAGAAGCTCCCGGAGACAGGCAAGCTCTGTTGTTCGGGACTTCTGCGGCAGGCGGGACACACACCGGGCTGCGGGGGAGGCGGCGAAAACAGCTGCCGGGCACTGAAATCGCTCTCCGGGACCTGCGCGCTCTGGGCAGGTGCAGTCTTCCTCGCCTGGAGGGGGGCACGGGTTCGCTGGGTGTTATGCAGCGCCTGGTGAGGAGCATCTCCTCTTCCCCGTCACCGATGGCCCTGAGGTGGTAAAACTGCTCAAAGCGGGACCTTCTCAGCCAGCCGCCGGGCTCGCGCGGCAGCGTGTCCAGGTGCCTCCTAGTGGACAGCAGGGTTAACAGGTGGGCGCCGACGCTGATGCTGTAGCTGCGGCAGCGGGCTCGGTATTCGTCTGCACACAGGGCTCTCATCTTCTCCAAAAACAGCTCGTGCATGTTTTGGGCCACCACACAGTCATCGACCTGCATCCACAGCTCGCCGGGACCGATGACGGTGGACCTACCGACTTCCAAGAAGAAATACTGCTCCGAGTGCCCGCAGCGACGGATGCTCAGGAGCTGGACGACCACGCTGGCCACCTCGGTATTCAGCCTCACAAACACCACCTCCTCGTCGGTAAGACAGAGCCGGAACACGCCGCTCAGCTCTTTTCTGTGCCCCAGCCCCCTGGGTTTGACTATTACCTGCCACACATCCTTGTAGAAGGGTGGCTCCGCCGCCGCTGCAGCCCCCCGCGCGGCCGGCTCCCCATCCGGCGGCGCGCCGGGCGTGCCGCAGCGGCGGCGCTTGCTCTCGAGGATGAGGCGGCTGAGCAGCAAGTACCAGCTCTCCTGCTCCGACTCGTTCTCGGCCACCATCGCGAAGTACTCGTCCTGGGTGAAGAGGGCGATGAGGTGTCGGTACCTCGCGTCGGCTCGCTGGCTCACGGAGAAGCATTGGTACAGGGTGATCACGCGCCGCGGCGGGATGAGCGCGGGGACCGCGGCGCCGGACGCCGCCGCCGCCGCCGCAGCGGCCGCGGCGCGGACACTGTGCCGGAACTTCCTGGCGTTTTCGTAGTATTCCAGCCGAGCCGGGGCGTCGGCGGTCTCGAGTTTGAGCACGAAGTAGCGCCGGTGCCCGTGCTTCTGCTTCCGCAGGTAGCCGCGCTTGCAGACTTCGTCCCCGACGGGGAGGTCCTCCTCATCGGACTCCGAGTCTGACCGGGAGCCAGTGGCCGTGGAGAGCCACATGGCTCCCGGACAAGACGACCCGGTCCCAATGAGTGCGGTCGGGGGGCCCGAGGAAGGAAGTGGGGTGGTCGCCACCGCAGCTAGAGCCGCCGCCGTTGCCGCTGCTGCAGCTCTCAGTCTCCTTGTCGCTTGGTCGCGAGCGAAGGAGCCACTCGCCATGGTGATGCACGATGGTTTTAAGGTGAGCGAGGGGGAGGGGGGGGCTCGGGGAAGGGAGGGCTGGGGGAAGAGGCCGTCTACCCCTGTCCGCCCGCCCCAGCCCCCTCCCGCCTCGGCCCCGCCCCCGCCCACTCCACTCAAAGCGCGCGGCGGCGGGCAAAACAACACGTGACCGCTGCCTCACGCGGCGGCCGCTGCGGCTCCAGCTACCAGCGCAGTGGAGGGGCGCAAGCCGCCGCCAGCCAAGGTGTGCAGGGGAGGGGGCGGCGGGCCCGAGAGGCGGGGCCGCCGCGCCCTCCCCGGCCTAGACGCTCAGTGAAGCTCCGGGCCTGTGGGCCTCGGGAGGACCGACGGGAGGAGGCGGGGCTGCCCGGCCACGCTGGTCCTACCGAGGAGTCCACGAAGGCACGAGGGGGCGGGAGGAGGAGGCGGGGAGGGGCGGAGGAGAGCGCGGCCCGCGATCCGGGCCGGGCGGGGGCGCCACATCCCGGGCTCCATTGGCTGGAGGGGGTGAGAGGTGGCGGCGGGGGCGGAGCGCAGCCCGTCCCGGGCGGCGCCGGGGTGGAGAGCTAGCACTGCCGCCGGACAGTTTGTTTGTTTATTTAGGGAGCGGGAGCCAGGTGAAACTGTTGCCAGGTTCTCATTGGACGGGAAGGGAGCCAATGGGAGTGTCTGGCAGGGAGGCAGCCTTGAATTAATTAGTTTGGGGGACAGGAGGGGAGCCGAGGGGCGAGGGGGGCGGGGCTTGGGTCCCGGAGTGGGCTCTGCCGTGTGGCTGTCGCGCACGCGGGCGGTAAACAACCCTCTGCAAGTAGCTGTTAATGGTAGTGCTAAAACTCGTGCGGATCCCTGAGCCGCGGTGACCCGGGGGCCGGCGGCGGGCGCCCTCTTTTTTCTTTTTTTTTCTCCCTGTCCCTCCCAGAAATCCTCTATTCCTGTCACAGGCGGGTCCCCTGGCTCCCGCCGCGCGCCGCAAGCTCGGCGTCTCGGGGAGAAAGTGTGGGCACCCCCTGGAAACGTGTTAACGGCCGGGGCCCTCAGACCTGCCTCCCACCGCGCTGCAGGCACTCCGAGCCCGCTCCAGCCCTGACAAAAGCCCGCGACTCTCAGGCATCCGAATCACAGCTATGCCTTTAAAATGATCACGCTCTCTAATCAGAGCGCATTTCTAGTCCACGAAACGCAGGTTGGCTAAAGATGCGGTTTCTGGCTATTTGATTAGTGATGTCTCTGAGAGCACGAATTTGGGGGCCTGCAAAGTATACAGCCATGTTGAAAAAACTCGGACTCGGTGCTTACTGAAATACGCCAGAGATGAGCTGTCGTGGTATTTTCCCGTGAGAGATGTTTCGAAAGGCGCCTTTAAGGGAATCTCAAAATAATATTGTTTCCCTTTCCTTGAGCGAGACCGAAAAACTTTAGAAACAGAAAAGCTTGTACCCAGAACAAAGGATCACACCGAATACATATCCTAGAATAGAGTTCACATCCCTCGCGTCAAGAAAAGATTTTTGCTGAATTTCAGTCTACAATTTGACATCACAAAAATAAGAACTACTGCCTCCCTTGTTTCTGGAAAAACTGCTGGAGTGTAAGTGCAACCTCTTTAAGTCTCTCTCTTCCCTCTCCTCTCTCTCTCTCTCTCTTTCTCTCTCTCTCTCTCTCTTTCTCAGTTTGTCTTTTACTAGGATTTCAGCTTCCTAAGTGTGGAGATGGGTCAGTATTACATTAAAATATCAAAGGAGTGACCACAAGTGCAAAGAGGGATTTGGGGGAGACGAATGATATTTCTCTCTGAAAGAATGGAATGTCGGTTCACCTTTGCCCCAGGGTGGATGCTGCAAAGGGCATTATTTATAAAATCTAACAGTAAACGAAGCAGTGTATACATCATAAAAATAAACCCCATCCCCGTCCTTTTAAGAATTTGTTCTCTCTCAGGAGCAGAATAAACATATTTGGGTGAAGGGCTCCTTTTTGACGCTCCCACTTGGGGAAAAAAGAAATTGGTTTTGGTTGTCTCCAAAATATTAGAAACATTAACGTTCCCTCTGCTGCCGCCGGCTTATAAGCACAGCATATTCACAGGTGCTCCGAACAGCCGTGGTTTCTGAAAGGGGCTCTCAGAAGCACAATGAGTGTGGATGCTCAGAGGGCCCTGACTGGAGCTGCTCCCTACATGTTTCAGCTGCCTGGTCACATACATAGAAGATTTCCTACACTTACAACCCAAATGATAATGAATAAAATAAAATAAAATAAAATTTTTATCATAGGTATTACGATGTTTTATGAGTCTTTGCAAGCGTAGGGTTTTGCTTTAGATAGAAATGTTTTGAAAACAAGGCAACGCATTTGGAAGTACTGTGAGTAAAAACATGACATTTTAGAATGTATTGAAAGACATTAAATGGCATCCTGAATAAAGTTTGGAAAATACTGAAAATAATAGATTTTTAAATCCTCATGTCCTTACAGAGTTTTGGCATAGAGTAGTAGGCTTACACTGTACATCATTTTGTATCTTGTTCTTTTCAATGCTACAAGGTAACATTTTCCTGTATTATTATGGATCAGCCTAAACGTCATTTAAAACGCTGCAAAGTGTTCTAGGCAGCTGTGTATTAATGTACTTAAGAATCCCTCTGCTTTGCGCTGTTTGGCTGTTTTTTGTTTTGTAATATTATAGATAATGCTGCAACAAACATCTTGTTCCTATAGCTTTTTTTTTTTTTAATGTTTAGAATTAGTCCCTTGGGGTGGAAACCAAGGAGTAGAATTACTGGGTGAAAGATATGAACATGCGATGCATTATTTTTCAAAAATATTATATCAGTTTACCATGTCACCATACTGATTGGCAGAATTGGGCATTCTTATTTTTTTTTAAAAAATCACTGATACATGGGTGAAATGGTATTGGACTGGTTTTTTAATTTGCATTTTTGTTTACTAGTGAGATAAAAAAACTTACATATATTTGCTGACAGTAGATTATCTTCTGTAAAGTGTCTTTTATGCCCTTTGCTTTATCTCTTGGAGTCTTAGTATTTTTTTTCCTTATCTTGTGCCACTTGTTTACATAATAAAGATATTAAAACTTCCATCCTATTTGTTGTAAGTTTTTTCACCAGTCTATTAATGAAAAACATTGCATTTAAACTTGATTCTATTCTATTTTGAGAGGTGTGTAGATTTGGTAAGTGAGGTTTGTAGTGCTGCGTAGGAGAGAGCGATTCACACACACAAATATCACCACGATCATTTCTTCTTTTAAACAATCTCATATATCTAAGCTTATATGGTCTTTTAAAGAGACAACTAAGTTTGTTCTCTTATCAACAGACTATAGGAGAGCATCTAAACTTGTTAAATTTTATGTGGTCCTCTTAAACAGTTCTTTGTCAGGCATTATTCTCTACTCTGGCAGAGACCCCTAGGACTAATAATGTGTTAAGAAAGAAATATGGAAAAAAAATTTTTACACAATTACAGTGCAAGATTACCAAGGCTGATCATTTGTATCCAAAGTCTATTATTTGGCTGCATCAAAATGGAGTTACAGATATCATGAGATGTTGCAGGGAGGGATTTTACTCTGTCTGTTTCCTACAGTGGGAGAAGATGGGGGCAAATATTACTACTTGTGAACAGGGAGAATGTGTGGCTAGAAGACCATTATTTTCTTTACATAAGTCAACCAGATCTCCTCAGTTCTAAAAGTTGTGCCAACACTGAAGCTCTCTGGGGGAGACCATCATTACTGACTTGCACCAGAAGCTGCTGCTTGTCCGACATGTATTTAAACTTTCATCTTCCTGGACAACTTAATGATATAGGATAGTTGTTTAGTTTAGGTCAGGTTTCCGTAGGCAAAATAAAGCAGAGGGGTGGTACGGACATCTAGAGGGTTCAGGCAAAAAGGAGAGACTTTGTGTTTGGCTTGGACTCACCAGATGGGTGCTTTAGTGCTCCGCTCCTCTTTGGTTATAGATTCCTGCCTCTTTTTTGTTGCTGTTGCTTTTGTTTTCATATGCATGACAGATTACCCCAGAAAGAGATTGTTTTCCATATCCAGGTATAATTTCTGTAGAGGCTGGACTCTGAGCCCAGAGTCGCGAACACAGATTTTTAAAAACAACAGATGAAGATGTAAGAACACCGCCACTATTTCTTGTTTGCCAGTTTAGCTGAGGGAGGGGGAAATGCAAGCATTTCAGCTGGTGTTTTACACCTCGATAGTCAGGTGTACCTGGATGAGCACAGCCACGGTGCCTCTAAAACAGTTTCTATCTCATGAAGAAATACGCCTTTAATGGGGTTTGCCTTTAGAAGAAATTTCCTGTGAATCCCGTTTTCAGAAAGCAGTTGTTTGACTGAATTGAGTAGTGGCTACAATAAAAACTCATCAGCCTTTTTCCTCACAAACACGATCATCAGTATTCTAAACTCCACTTGTGCTGAAATCAAAATGGATAATAGAAATGTGGATTTACTTAGCTTAAAAATTAAACTGTTGCATTAAATATGGGCATTGTTCAAGAGAAGAAAGGCTAAGAGGAAAAAGTAACCAGTATAAAAGCACTATTATTCTTGCCCAATATATAATTTTTTTCCCTCTAAGTATTAGCTCCATAGTCTTTGTGAGCTAATGTCCAATTATGTTGATAAAAATGTGGGGCCACCCTTGCTATTAAAAACGGGTGCTAGCAATGATGATTGCTTTCTCTGTGTTTGGACGTAAATGAAGCCATGCACAATGAATGATGCTTTCTGTACTACGCGGGGATAAGGGCTGCCCCCTGATTTGTGGCTGCGGCCACCGCTTGCAGATGATGGCTTTGGTCTCGGCTTCTTTACTTCTATGCTACTCAAAACCTCTGCTGGAGCAAACAACCGTCAAATGCCTGAGTGCTGCACACAGAACAGGTCTGTTTGCCGCTTTTGTTTCCTCGCACTCTGCAGCTAAAGTAATTAGAGCAAATACATGGCTTAATTAG